TGGTGCTCATATTGATACGATATTAATTAGTTTATTTTTTTATAGGTTTCTGAACAATGCTGTTATATTCCACAGTCTTTTGTCAAGGAATTTGTAAAAAACTGCACAACATGTGCAACAAGAAGAAGTTTTCCAAATCCGGTTGCTGCAAGGCCGATCATCTCCAATGCATTCCTCAATCGAGTCTAAATTGATTTAATTTCTATAACCAGTATTCCTGATGGTGACTATCGTTATATATATTACATGTGGAATCACTTTACAAGGTATTCGTGGGCGCGGTCTCTAACTAGCAAATGGCCAATTGAAGTGGCTGTCTTTCTTTTTGATGTATTTGTTTGCTTTAGTGCTCCAATCATTTTTCAGTCTGATAATGGTCGAGAATTCACAGCAGAAATAATTCGCAAGTTATTGACTATATGGCTAGATGTTTATATAATTAATGGGCGTTCAAGACACCCACAGAGCCAGGGATTAGTAGAACGGGCCAATGATATTCTTCAACAAAAGGTATCAAAATGAATGAAAGATACACAAAAAAAAGATTGGTCTCGCGCTGTACCGTTGTGTTGTTGTAAGCTTTTTTTTTTTTTTTTTTTTTTAATTCCCAATTCAATTTATTTTTAATAGATGCGATGAATGTACAACTATCCCGACAAACTAAAAGCAGTTCATATGCATTGGTATTTGGACAAAACCCCTTGCGGCATTTTTATTTACTAAAGGAAATCAAGGAACACAACATTAATTCCAAAAATGAACTACCTGAAAACTGGTTTGAACAACCTGGACCCCACAATAATATAAATCAACAAGAAATTTTAGAGTTATTGTTGGGGGCTGCAGCTTTAAATGCAGAGGTACGTACGTACACATGTATGAAAATTTTAATTATGCATAAAGTGTATAACCATTACTAATTTTAAATATATGTACGTACCTTATTATTATATGTACATACATATATATGTATTTATGTTTCTAGGAGCAAGAATTATTAGATAATATTAATAAAGAGTTGGAAAGCGAGGAAATAGATAATGGAAGTGAGAATGAAATGGTGGATGAAATAGATGAGATAGTAAATGAAATGGTGGATGAAATAACAGATAAAAGAGTAAATGAACAGGTAGATAAAATGGTGAATGAAAGAGTAAATGAATGGGTAGATGAAATGTGAATAAACCATGGATATTTATGAAAGTGCAAATGAAAAGGTAAATGAAAGTGCAAATAAAAGGGCATACGAAAGTGCAAATGGAAGAGCATACGAAAGTGCAAATGGAAGGGCAAACAAAAGAGCAAATAAAAGAACAAATGAAAGGGCAAACGAAAGGGCAAATGAAAAGGTAAATGAAAGAGCAAACGAAAGAGCAAATGAAAGGGCAAACGAAAGAGCAAACGAAAGGGCAAACGAAAGGGCAAATGAAAGGGTGAATACAATCAAAAAGGTAAACGAAAAAGCAAATAAAAGGGTGAATGAAAAAGCAAATGAAAGGATGAATGTAAAGGAAAACGAAAAAGTAAATAAAAGAATAAACAAAAGGATAAATAACAAGGTAGACAAAATGGTGAATGAAAGAATGAATGAAAGAGCAGATAGAATAGCGAACAAAGGAGTGAATGAAAAGGCAAATGAAAGGGTGAACGAAACAGCAAATAAAAGGGTAAGCAAAAGAATGAATGAAAGGGTAAACAACAAGGTAGATGAAAGGGTGGACAAAAGGGTGGACGAAAGGGTAGACGAAAGGATAAATGAAAGAATAGATGAAGGGATGTGCAAAAGAATAAATGAACGAGTAAACAAAAGAGTTGAAATAATGAATAAAGAGATAGATGAAACAATGAATGAAGAGATGAATGAAACGGTGAATGAAGGGATGGATGAAATGGCAAATAAAGGGGTAGATGAAATGATGAATGAAGAGGTAGGTAAAAGAAAAAAGCATTGAAAAATATAAGTTAGTTATTTTATTTATTTAAGCAAATAATAATAAAATTTTATTAAACAGACGGAATTACCTGCAAGTGAAACCAATGAAAGTTTATCAACAATGAGAAATGCATCTGAAATTCAGGTAATAATTTAATAGTTTAAATTTAATTAAAATTTTATTTTAAATGCATTATATGTTCCTAATAATTAAATTTATTTATTTATTTTGTAGTCTTTTTTAGATGAGCATAATTCTTGCTGTATTTTTCAAAACAAGACCAATATTCAACAAACAGCGTCACATGAAATCTACCGAAGTATAGCTACACGATCTCTTAAAAGATATAATGATGACATGAAGTCACAACTAACCAAGCGAAATAAAAAATTTGCAGACAAGTATAATATTGGAGATTTCGTTCATATTAAAATTCCTGAAATTGACAGAACGCACAGTGATCGAAAAACATTACCATGCAAGATTCTTGAAGTTTTAACAAACGATTCTTATAGGATCAGATGTAAATCTGGTATTATTCAAACTACCTACAAGGCTACTGAACTACTTCCTTTGGGTCCCAATGAATTTCCAGAATTGGACAGCATTCCTTCAGCTTTTGTCAGTGTTCGAGAAGCAGCAATCACACAATCCTCATCACAAATAGGTAGTATAAAATGTAATTGCAAGAATTTTTGTGATAAATTTTTTTGCAAATGTAAAAAAGCGAATGTACCATGTGGTAGTAGCTGTCATCCTAGCAATTATCGATGTAAAAATACTATGTAATGATAGTAGTATTTAAGCAATAATTTGCAAAATAAAATGCTTTTTAAATAAATTCTAAATCTACTTAAATTCTAAAATAATATACTTGTTAAAATAATTTAGAATATGTTCAATTTAAATTTAAGTTAATTTCGAATTTTTTAACAACTTGGATATGATTTAGAATTCTATTATAACTTATGTTTATTTGGAATCAACTTAAGTTGATTCTAAACCTATCGGGATTCCATTCCAACGTACAACATATATATACTGTATAATTTCTCTAAAAATTTAAAAATTACGTATATACAAAGATTTTTAATAAACGAAATACGAATAGTTCAAATATATTATACGTATATATGAGTACGTGAGAGTGAAATCTCGGAACTTTATTTAATGAACTACTATGATTGGTTACAGGTTTTCATTCTCACGCATTTGTGACTAAAGGATTGGAATCGATCAAAAGGTTTAGTCGATTGGTTATTCGACTAAAACTGTTAATCATCGACTAATCGGTTATTCAATCGACTAGCGCTAGTCATTTAGAAGTAAAATACGTATGATCAATAATTACGTTCAATAATTACGTATATATCTATATATATGTATATATACCGTAGTGCACAAACCCCTTTTTGCGTACCCCCACTCAAAATACCCAGCATATTTTGATTTCTGTATTGCGTATACGTACACCATACAAGATACCTATAGGTACTTTATAAGTTTTTTTTTAGTTAGATTGTATTAGACCCCGAGTACTTTGGTCAGTGCACTACGGTAATTAGATTTGCATACGTATTAACTTTAATTAGCAGTTAATTAATTAGTCAACTAGATAGACTAATCGACTAGTTGACTACGTAATCAATTAGTCAACCAATAGTAGATTATATTGTAGATTATATAGTCAATTACTGTATATAGTCAATTATATAACCAACTACGTATCGATTTTATGATTCCTATTCTTAGTTGTGACTTTAAACTTTTCTCAAGAAATACTTTGCCTTATATATATCGTATATTGTTCATGTTTACATTATCTACGTAGTATACTAATTAGTTAATTTACAATGAGTTCTACAGAGCAACTGACCATAGTAAATCATTATGATCAGTTACAGGTTTTCGCCATTATACTACGTACATTATCTAACTCTAAAAAAAATTGGTAAATATATCGATCTTTTCTCTTTTACATACATTCTCTAACTTTAAAAAAAAAAGCTAAATACGATCTTTTTCTTTTTGTAACTATATATATGATTTTCAGCCATTTTAACATTATGCATAACACTATATAGTTAGAGTTTGGATCCGGTTCCAAACTCTAGCACGAGTAACGGTACAAAAGTAATGGTATGAGTAATGATTCGCAGTTCTCCGCCATGAAATTTACACCCTTCAAATGTGATCTACTACTTAATATCTGATCCATTACCAGTTACGTACATTTCATGATTATAGTTTCCTTTTATAAATCTTTTAAACTAACAACAATTAAAAATACTATAAACACCTATCGCAATTTTCTCTTAATTTCATAGGGAAAAATTTACCTTCTGATCCGCATTATTGTTCTCAGTTGGTAAAAAAATATGCCAACTATCCCTATAGTTCTGTAGTTGCAACTGATCGAGTATCTTCCCCAGCGTAACCATCAAAAAAAGCACGGACACATGACCTTGTGTGGCTTATGTGTAACCCGAGACCGCCGG